AAAAAAAAAAAACACTGGGTACACATTTATCATTTGCTCATTGATTAAAGTTTCTTCATACTTTTTCTTATGTCTATATCTTGGTTATCTTTTCAAAGGAAGGAAGCCAGTCTATTCAGACTTGCTTGCCTGTTTGCTTACATATTTACTTTTTTACTTATTTTTACTATTGTACACACCATTGCTACCAAAACTGTTTCTCTTCTGCATCTTTGTGCTGGTCTTCCAGCTTCTAGAATTCAACTCAAGAAAGCCTTCCTTGATTAATCCATCTCAACATAGCTACTCTTTTGTTTTTTATTTCTTTAAGCTTAAATAACATGTTTCATTGTTTAGAATACACTTTTTGTTATGAGATAAACAAGGTTTATCATTAATTTTATATTTTTTTCTTTTAATTTTTAGAATCTGATGTTCCAGCAGAACTCCAGGTATTAAAAGAACCCCTACAACAGCCAACTTTCCCTTTTGCAGTTGCAAACCAACTATTGCTTGTTTCTTTGCTGGAGCACTTGAGCCATGTGCATGAACCAAACCCACTTCGTTCAAGACAGGTGTTTAAATGTAAGTAATAATCAATTTGCAAAATAAAGCTTGTAATAAGATTGTTTACTGCTGTTGGCCTGAGACACAGTTGATGTGTAAAAACAGGATGGGACCCAGGCATGGAGGGTTAAGCTTGTGATCCTTGCTACTTGGGAGGCCATGGTGGGAGGATCATTTGAGCTCAGAAGTTGAAGGCCAGCCTAAGCAATGCAGTGACACTCTGACTCTAAAAAAAAATTTTTTTTGAAATTAGCCAGGCATGATGATGCATGCCTATAGCCCTAGCTATTCAGGAAGCTGACTCATGAGAATCCCTGAGCCCCAAAATTTGGGGCTGTAGTGAACTGTAATTGGGCCACTGAACTCTAGCCTGGGCAACAAAGTGAGACCTTGAAAAATTAAAAAGTTAAAAAATAAAAATTGGGTGTGAAGTAAGAATAAATAATTTACATTCTTTCAATTTATTTTACATTTTCCTTTCGGTAATTTCTTATGGATATCATCCCTGGGGCCCCCCCAAATTGTGTGTAATTTAATAAATAAAAGATTAAAAAGGGAATGGGTGGTACCTGTGGCTCAAAGGAGTAGGGCGCCAGCTCCATATGCTGGAGGTGGCGGGTTCAAACCCAGCCCTGGCCAAAAACTGCAAAAAAAAAAAAAAAAAAAGATTAAAAAGGGAAAATCACATGTGCTCATTCAGAACCAGTTCTTGGCCTAAAATCAGCTGCATTTTGTAGTCGAAATTGTAAAAATGTTTATTTTTTTTGCAGACAAGGTCTTGGTCCATTGCCCAGGTGTTAGAGTAGTGGCATGATCATAGCTCCCTGCAATGTTAAACTCCTGGACTCAAGCAGTCCTCTTGCCTCAGCTTTGCAAGTAGCTGGGATTCTAGGTACGTGCCACCACACTGGGCTAATTCTATTTTTTGTAAAGATAGGGTCTCACTATGTTGCTCGGGCTAGTCTGGAACTTCTGACCTTAAATGATCCTCCTGCCTTGGCCTGCCAAAGTGCTAGTATTATAGGCAAGAACCACTGTGCCTAGCCAAAAATGTTAAGTTGTATTCCTGCTATAGGACACTTAAGGAAAAACATGAGCACAGAAGAATTATAGCTTTTACTGTTTCTTGTTTAGCTTATTGACTGAGACCATGAGGCCTGTGTAATGGCTCCAACCACAGATTCTGAGATTCTTTTCTCTCAAAAAAGTCTTTTTAGGCTGTGCCCAGTGGTTTACACTTATAATCCTATGTCTCTGGGTAGCCAAGGAGGGAAGATTCCTTGAGGTCAGGAGTTCAAGACCAGCCTGAGCAAAGCAAGATCCTGTCTCTACTAAAATCAGAAAAACTAGCCAGGGATGGTGGTGCGTTCCTGTAGTCCTCATCTACTTGGGAAGCAGATTCAGGAGGATCATTTGATTCTAGGAGTTTGATATTGCTGTGAGCTAGGCTG